CTACGTTCATAATGAAAAACGGTTACGGTAGGATTTGAACCATCGATTTACCACTTGGGAGACCAGTGTCTTCTCCACTAGACTAAGAAATTTTGTGCTGAAAGGCTATGGTTATTTAATTTACTTTATCCTTTTCACGAAGTTCATAATGAAAAATGGTTATGATAGGATTCGAACCATCGACTTACTGCTTGGGAGACCATTGTCTTTGCCATTATACTACAAGATTTTTTGTTGAACGGCTATGGTTATTTAAGTTACTTTATCCTTTTCACGAAGTTATGATAGCTAAGATATAAATTAATGAGTGACCTCAATGAGTTATGATGATTTATGTTCTTGTTTAAAACGCACATAACTGTACCTTATATTCGTAGCTTTAACCTCATATCAACCACTTGTGTTGAGGCAAAAATATCACAGGTATGGAATCCATTTTTAAATTAAATAGTAATTACTCCGGCGTCAGCGACGGAGTTGAAAATTCGCCCCGGTTTTGTTTTGTTTTTGTTTTTTTTTTTTTTATTTTTCGTCGTCGCAAGTGTGTAATGGCGCGAAATATTACTTGTATTTAAAACGTGTATGTGACTGTATTTATCTACGTCCCAGTCTTACAGCCGATTCAGGTTGAGCGTTTAGCGGAAGTGTTGATGACGTTCGTTGTGGGCGTTGCAACGCGACGTTTCTAAGGGGCCAATTACACGTTTCTATGCAAAGAACGTTGCGTCGAAATATAAAGCACATGCTATGCGTTGTATATATTTTCTCTATAAAAATGTCTTTAATTCAGATTAAAGTTGTGTACAATTACTATTCAAGTAACCGGATAACACCAATTTACATATTGGACGGAGAATTAGAGAGCTTTTCGTTTGAAATGTTTAAAATGCGTGTACTTAAAGATGTCCCACACTTGGCGAAAGCTGCTTCTTTGCGTTGGACCATAGACGATGATGGACTTGAAGTAGACTTGTCGCCAAGTTACTTCAATGTCCAAATGAGAGGAATTTTAGAAAAAGAAAAGAGCATCAGAATATACGCGATCGAATTCGAATCACCTATAGTGACAACATCTACATCGTCTTCGAAGGAAGCTTCTGGTGTAAAGTCATGCACGATCAGCACCGATGTCAAAAAGCCAAACCTAAAGCAAGATATACGCGCACGAAGGACATTAGTTCTACGAGGCAAGATGAATCGAAGCTGGATTTTGTCTTTGGAGGAGAATCAGACGTGGACACGGACGACGAAAATACCGAAGAAAACAAACCACGTATAATGATGCCTCTTGAAAGGTACGCTTTGAAACAAAAAGAGACAATAGAAAAAATTTCGACAGAGCTACAAGAAGGAACTCGCCAATTGCAAAAGTTTGATGAAAAAATTCGTCGAGCATCGTCCCAAAATGAGGGAAGTTTATCTACGTGTGGGAATTGTCACATGAAACTTGGCCACACAAAAAAAATATGTACCTTCTCTCCGTGTAAATCCGCATTTTCTTGTGGCATTCTGTCCAAGCACATGAATGAAAAGGCCCAACGTACAGCTATAGAAAGAGACATTGGCCGTTTGCGTGTTAAATTGAATAAGGCACGAAAGGAAGTGGAAGATGCCGGTCGAGCTGCGGACAAACTAACTCATTCCGTTGCCAAACGAATTGAAGATATTGTTATCGCCGAGCAACCAGACAGATACGTCAGTTTTGGGCTACGAAACTGGGCACTATTAAATAAGGATGTGGCTACTCTACAAAAACATCTCAAAGGGAAGCTCCCCTCACGAGAAAATGTTATGAAACATATTCATGAAGTTGTTAAAAATACGTCGAATCGTGAGAGTAAAGCAAAGCAAAGATCTAGTTCCACGGCCAGTAGGGCGCCGGTTTTGAGCGAGACAGATCACAGGATGAGTTCGCACAAGCGTCTTTTGGCTGAGAATTATGGCATAAAATTTCCTAGCAAAGGAAAGACACAAACATCATCAGTCATCTGCTCTGGCGACGAGTTGAAAGGCTTCAAACTCGCACTTCAACTTCAACAGGAAGAAATGGAGTCCCCACCAAAAAGTTCAATGCCAATGGAGAGTAAGGAGAGTTCGACGGCGTCGATGCAAAATACACGCAACGACCGAATCATCATAGATGATGAAAATTCCAATCCTGTCCCATTCCAAGAACCCTTCGGCTCCGAACTAGCATCAAATGATCCAGTTGTGGTAAAACGGACAGTCGAGAATATCGAATTTGAAGCCGACGCTGCAGCTGCCCTGCTGCAGTTGAAACGCCGCCGAGAGTCACAGTCCTAGACGTTGAAATCGACATTCACAGTAGAGTTGTACAGGTATAAAGACAATATAAACGTAAAGTAAATTTATATTATTAGTTGGCTCATTTTCCTATTGCAAACAGGGCGAATTTGATAAGCTTCAAGACGGACTAATACGTAATGTTTATATTGTGTTTTTTTGTTTAGAGTAGTCAGATTATAATAGTCAGACTCAGACTGTCAGATAAATGACTAATGGAGTTTGTTTTGACAGGCACTTCGTTGCTCAATTAACTCCAAATAGTTTTACCGTAAAATAACGCCATTTAACAATTGACATAAAATAATTTCGTTTATATAGGCTCCTTGATTGAAAATAATAGTTTTGAAACATGTCTATCCTATTGCATTAAATAACCAGTAATCTCATAAAAAGATTGCATGTCACCAGGTGTTATGAAATTAATAGCAGTGTATAAAGCCTCCTTCAAGTCCGTGTTTGTCATTTCCCAAAATCTGTATTTGAGCAAATATTTTAATTTGCCAAAAACATACTCAGTGGGGTTAAAATCCGGGCTATAAGCGGGCATATAAACTAACTCGATGTTCAAATCTTGAAGAAATTCTCGTAGAACGCGTTCACCTTCGTAATGATGTATTGGACAGTTGTCCATAACAATTGTATCGCCGACTTCAAGACATGGTCTGCCTGTTGCTGGGTTTACAGAAGTATATGCTTCTTCAAAAAACCTTAGAAATTCCAAAGTGTTAGACGGGCCATCTATTACATTCATATACGTTACCCCGGTAAGAGCACACATGAGATTTACAGTTGTGTTTGATGTTTCACAGTATCGCTTAATTTCAATTGCCCTTTCTCCTAAAGGAGCGTGTCCGTAAAATCTTGTGCCGTTGGTGGGTAACTTAACACCGCATTCATCAAAATATTTCAGGGTGTAAGGATCTTTTTCGTGTAAATAGTCCACAAACAATTGTGTGTATGCCATGTTTTGCACGGTAAACCTTTCCTGTGCCACGTGAGTTACTTTTTTATAGCTAAATGCTTCGCCACTCGGCATTCTTTTTCGAACAGCATTGCTAAGAGCTGTGGTTGAAGTACTTCCAACGGGAAGGTCGCCAACTTCAATAAGAATATTTTCAATTTCCGAATAACTAATCGAAGGTTTTTGTGTTTTCAGGACTTCAATTAATTGGAGATCTCCGTCTGAAAGACCGCTTTTATTCCCCCCACCGTGTTTTAGAGGGCTTAAAGACTTGTTTTCGACAAACTGCTTCCAAATTTTAGAAACAACTGGAGGGGACAAATTTAATTCATTTGCGATATCGGCATATCGTCCGCGAAAATGACCATTAGTCATATTTCCACCCCTCTCAATAATCTTATCAATAATAGTTGCTCTTAAATCGGATGACAAAGCTTTTCCTGGCCTATACGACCGCCCTTTACTGCTAACCTTCCACATTTTGTTTATGTTAAATATAGAACAACAATATAAATTCATAATTTCGCGCCTCAAAACAACGCAACGTTCTTTGCATAGAAACGTGTAATTGGCCCCTTAGAAACGTCGCGTTGCAACGCCCACAACGAACGTCATCAACACTTCCGCTAAACGCTCAACCTGAATCGGCTGTATCTCCCAAGAGTTGTGGTGCACAGCTTTGGCTAATTTTCCAATGCGCGATTCGATTTCGCTCGCATGATACGGCAATTTCTCCAAGAGGAACAAATAAACCGTTCTTTTCATGCTGTTCGATTACGTTAAATAGAATTGGGGTAAGAATATATTTAATACATGTAGATTCCGGTCCTATTTTAATAATATCGCTGCAATTTCGCCCTTTAACAAGATGATGTGGTCGTGTATGGGCGCGTTGACACGTCGCGTTGTTTGCACAGGATCGGAGATTTAATATAACTATATAAGCGCAAATTCCAAAGGCAAACTGTAAGACGAAGCGAATGTATCATGCGGTTTATTTACATTTTTGAACAATTGAACTTCTATACTGCGATGTGCTTCTGAATTTCGCGATCGAACATTTAGGTTCGCAAGGCATCTAAATGCGAATATGTATGCGAAACAATACGCGAACTGTATTGTTTATGTTCAGAAGCTCTATATTGAAGACTGGCACGTGCGCCGGAGTTAACGCCAGAACGGCGTCTTGTTTAGTTGAAAAAAATAGCATCTTTGCATTGCAGGATTCGAACCTGCGCTCACAAACTGGTAGGGCCGTAGACCACTAAGCCACCGTGTTGCTACCCTTCAAAAATTTTCTAAAACTGTTTTAACGTCCATGCTAAAAATGGCTTCCTGTGCTTCGTAATAATTTTCAGCGGAGGTTTTATAAGTTTGGCAAAGCCCATTACAAAGTGATGTGAACTAGTATTTTACATATAGGATTGTTTTCGACTTTGTCAACAGTTCTGTTTTGGCTAAGGTCAGGCATTTTATTTTCACTCTTCAATGAAATAATGGCTGGTTTATATAATATAATGTCAATTGTGGGAAAATAGAAACAAGAAATAACAGAGTTTGCCAACGTTTTCCTTTGTGCTACAAACTAACTTTGACCTGGTATCATAGGTACACAGTGGACATAATAAACAGTATTAATAAATAATTTAAATTTGCTGCAAAGCTTACATTGAAAAGGCTAAACAGATTAATAGAGGCAAATTTTAAACCATAAGAATACAAAGCCATATTAATACATCGAGGTCTGCCAAACTTTTCTCATTTTAAAAGCTACTATTTCAACTACATAGTGGTTAGCCACGCATGCGCATCCGATGAGGCATTGTATTTCAACATTATTCAACAATTATTTCTGGGAGTTTTCAAACATAACTAGGTACCCCAACTATACGTATGCTGTCTATATACTTACTTTAATTTATAATATATGCATACTTATTTTGTAATATTTTTTAATAATAAAAACCTAGCTTAGAATGCCGTGGGCTATATTTCAAGTTACACTACAGGACTGGATTAAAGATGATACTCCTGGATTCTGGCTATGCAATTATTACCCGTCTGGTTTTCTTGAGAAAATCGACAATTAAGTAACTCGTCCACACTAGCAGGATGATTACCCTCAGTTCTCGCCAAATTATTTGCGATCTCGGCCATACGCGACCAATCATCAACGGTAAACGAACTACTTGCAACAACATGGGGTATACCATCTTGAACTCTATCGATCAAGTCCCCCGCCGATACGGGACTCTCGATTAGATCCCATTCCTCTTTCTTCTCCTCGAGTTCGGTCCCCCTGAGGAGCATCAGGGGGAAAGCTTTGATGACCGGAACTTTATGAACCAAACAGAACTGCACGGTTTGCTTAAATGACTCGAGGGTCTGATTGGGCAGTCCGAAGATGATCGACACTTCGTAGAGTAAATTACGGGAATTTATGTCTATTATGGAGCGTTTAATCCGTTCCAACGGATTACCCCGACGAACGGCTTTTGCTTCGTTGCTATGAATTGTCTGCAGTCCAAATTCCAACTGAACCAAACCTGTTTCGTTTAACTGTTCACAGAGGTCTAGATACGGCTCTTTGACCATTTCGAATCTCGACTGCAGGGCTATTTTTCCGCGATATTTATTTCTCACGAAGCGCCTCAAAACGTCCAAGTAGAATGGCCCGGAATTGAACGTGGGATCGAGGACCGCTAAGTCGTGCACGTTGTTTTCGCAGAAGAAGTCGATTTCCTCTTCTACTCGCTTGGGCAATAAATTTCTTCTCTTCAAATGATCTCCACTCTCCCGATGCTGGCAGAAGGAGCACATGAACGGACAACCACGCTGAGTTTCCCACCGGAGAAATGGCTGTGGCTTGATCAATCCAGAGAGATACGGAGAGGTCAAATTATCCAAGTCGACTTGGCTTCGCCATGCTAAATCGGGCTCACCTTTGTAGTGAACACCTTTTATCGGCTTGTTCTCTTCCGACGTCATCAATTTAAACATCACATCTTCCGCGTAGCCTCGAATGAAAACGTCAGCGTAAGGATATTCGTGCTCAATCCCCGGGGACGAATACGACACCTGCGGTCCCCCAAGAATGACACGCCCAGGGAACCCGCGTTGCTTCAGAGATTCTGTTATATTTTGCACCGAGTTTTCATTCCAAATAAAAGCACCGATGCCTATGTCGGTGTTGGCTAGGTTTTTACCGAATGACTTCAACGTCTTCTCCATATCTTCGACAACCTGCGTCCAGGTGTAGGTCGGGGAGTTCACGCTGTATTCCATAGAGGCGACGTTCACCCCTTTCTTCACTAGATTGGCGAGGATAGAGGCGTGACCCAGGGAGAGAGGAGGGTCTTTGGGCCGTGTCCAGTCTAAGGACAGCAGAATCAGTCTGCGGCTAAGCATCGAGGAATCTACAGGAAAAGATAAAAAATTACTCCAGGCTTTAGAGGTAAAAAAATCCGAAAATAAACGTAACGAGGTTATCATGACCAGATTTATTAACGACTGGCCAAATTCGTAACGCTTCGGTTAATTCAGAGGTAAAATATGTAATCTAAATATAGTGAGCGCGCGGTCTCTTCAACAAATTGTTTGTTTAGTGAAGGGACATTAACTTGAACAAGACGCCTGCTCAAGGCGTTCACTCCGCCCGCCTGCATGCCAACTGATGTACATAATTCATCCGTGGACCGTGTATAACCCAGGGCTTCTCGGTCAAAAATGAAGTTGTTTTGGGTTACCTGTGGAAATGCCAACTTGTGTCAACCAAAACTACGACTACGACTACTAAAAGGAAAAAAGACCATGGCATTTTAAGACTCCGCTACGCATACGCAGGCGGAGTAACTAGGCAAAACTAGAAATTAGTAACTTAGGCTATGCGCACACGAGCGTTGTTTTCAAATTCGTTTTTGTCTATTTTATTGCTTAGACGCCTTGTCCACACGATCCAAGGAAAATATGCTTAATATGTTAAATTAGCTTCAGCTTCTATTGTAAATCGACGGTGTTTGAAACCGTCTGACAAACATTTTGATTTGACACTATGATTTGATTTCTTGCATTTTGAGGGCATTCACGAATCCATCTCATTGAGAGAAGATCAAGGATCCATCTCATTAAGAGAAGATCAAGGATCCATCTCATTGAGAGAACTGAGACCAAGAATAAATTTTGGACGTCGAGCATACGCGTCGTTGCTTGTCTCCAAAAAGTATGCACGCATTGCGGAAAGGCCTTATATACGGTTATTGAATCAAAACAAAGCGGGTACTGTAGCTTACTGGTGGCGAAATGTACCGTAAAAAAATAAATATTTGCAAACATCGTATATATAGCCTGATATAACATGGCTGCATCTATCATACGGTAAACAGACAACTAGCCTATAATAACGTCCGTCGCAAGTCTAGTATGCCGTATGGGGTAAAGAATTGACATATATTACTTTGAAACTTTAGCATCAGGAACAATTTCAATTTCATACATAAGTCATAAAATATGCACGACTTACATGTTGTATGTGGAATATGATGAAAAACTGAAACTATCATCCAAAATCCATGCTTAAATTCGTTTAGGATTATCTGATTTCTTTGCATTCCACTGATTTTATCGCGAATCAAAGTGAGACTATAATTAATCTATCGTTCGGAAAGTGGAAACATCTAAGAAAGGCTCAACACGAAATATCGAAAGTTTCGTTATTTTGTTTAAGCCATATGGCATATTAGATGCTTCTTACTTCCCTGAATACATAAGTACGGTATTGTATCGAGTTACTCTGAGATTGACTCGTATATACTGCACAGTTTATTATACACAAAAGCTGCAAAATCCCAGGCAAGATCCAAAAATGATAAACAAAACGAACGACATTTGTGATGCATGAAGTGTGATAACTTGTCTGTCCGTTTGCCGTCGTGTTTACACAGACCGGTCTTTTGCTGCAGTAGCTACCTGCAAGGCGAAAACTTGCTTTCTCGAGCTATTGCCACAATAGGTTGCAGGTAAAAAAAAGTTCCGCAATGAAATGGCGGCTACATTGTCATAACAATGAGGAGAAATGTTACTTTTTTACTATTTTATAAATGAAGAGGTTACAAGCACTTTGCCTGCTGGCGACGAAATTTTACAAAATAGCCGTAAAAATTAGGTCTCATTTGGACTGAATATAGAATCCTGTAAATCTTTTAATCCTCTTACAACCAATACAATTGATTGACGACTTACCCGGGATCGGCTTCACTTCATATGCGTATACCAAACATCCAATCTTACGGCACAGGCTAATTCATTGATTTTGCACGTTGAATCTACGCTAGAAACACGCTTTCATGTTTTGAATACGACAAGCTGTATCGTTATTTACACATAGCTCGTTGCTTGAAAAGTCCGCGCAATTACGATTGAATCAGAATAATCACAATACTATAATATTTAGCTATTTTGTGCTCACGATAACTTCACAGCTTTTAGCTTTGTGGTAAAAGTATCAAGTACATCAGATGAAACGATACGTACTAATTAATACGAAACTCGAAACTTGATTTTCAAACGATTTTGGTTTAGCCGCCTTATTACCGGGAACTAGGGTGTAATTCCAAGAACTGCTAATCAGTGTTTCCGCCACTTAGAATCAAAATTTCTTCTGCAAAAGTTTCGGGTGGAGAGACGCAAGTCACGACCAGTTTAGGGTAATTCTGTATCAACTAAAACTAAACTTGATAAGATAAAAACTCCTGCACCACACGCGCATGATGAAGCAAGCTATGGCAGCAATTCAATGCTCAAAATCCACGAAGATAATCAGTCTAACTAATCCAAAACCTGACCCTAATCAGCTATCTAGAGGATTAGCTAGAGACTAAGGATTAATATATTCGTGGATTCTGGACATAGATTTGTTACATAAACTAGAGAGGTAGGCAAATCCAATCCGATTAATCAGTTAATTGTAGGATTAAACATTGTTCTAGAGTTGCATAGTTAAATCCTAGTTAACTCTGAAATAAATGACTTTGATAGGCCAATTCTGTCCTTATAATTACACTACAGTTAAAAGTTAACTAGTGTTTTATACAACTGGCCCCTGACCCTGGTGCCGAATTTTACTTACTATGAGTGTGAGTTAAAGGAACATAGTTATCTTACCTATTATTTCTTGAAATTATTCCACATCAAGATTTGCCCATCGCTATAAATTCTCTTTCTTCAAAGCAGAAATTAGTCGGTCGCATTTTCTGCAAACTGGTCTGTGCAAAACAACTGGAGTTCTATGCCATTTGCCAGGCTGAATGACATTGTTTATTTCTTTCAATGCCGCTTGCACTGGGAACTCTCTTTGGTCCACTGTGGCAAGTGTCATGTGAAATTCTTGAAGTTGAGTGTGCGGAATATTCTTGGGTATACCTGTATGCCTCTCCAACTCTTGCTCATTTTCAAGGGCATACTCCAGTAGTTTCTTCTGGGATTCCTCGTCAACCATTAAAACAAGCGATGCTATGTCACCATGAGAGCTAATCGCACAGGCCATCTTGTTAAATGATATCACCAGAGAAGTCCATCTAATTAATGGCACATAAAAACTATAAGAATTTTTTCAATGTAGGAAACACATACTCAATACTCAATGTGACTCAATCTTCCTGGCATGCAATGTTTCTGATTGGCCAGTAGGAAACAACTGACACTGGAATTCTTTTTCAAAATCCAAATTATGGATATAGTATGGATGGCAATATTCCGAATAGTATGAAACTAACTTTATTAAACAAAAGGCTGATCTTTTGCATGCATTTAATTAAGTTAATTCTTATTGCATGGCGTTAATTAGTTTGACAGTTTGACTGTTATGAGAAGCACAGTGGCTGATAGCCTGACGATTTAGTCCTGCTATGTAAATTTTAAGTCATAGGTATTCATTTCTTTAGAAATAAATTGTTTTCCCAGTCAATGAACACCAAAATTTTAGCATATAGCAGGTCTAATTTATCAGGCTGGCTATGCCACTAGGAGAAACACCCACCTGTGGGAGTTAATGAATTCCCCAATCTTCACAGCTTCGCTTTCTGTGTAGCAGCAGTAATAATCAAATGTGAGATGCAGGTAGACAGATCTCTCTGTATCAAGGCTGCAAGGGGTGCCATATTTCTTCAGAATTGTTGCAGCCAAGTGCATATTGTCCAACAATTCTTTAGGCCAACTGTGGGTCTTGTTAAGGTATATATATTGCAGCATAAGTTGAAGTTACTTGTCTATCTTTAGGTTCACACTTCATTTTACAGCCAGGACCTAATTATTAAATATATCAATATATCCTGGGTCATTTATTTAAATTTTGGTTAGTATTAAGCCAGGATAATTAGATAATTATATCTACAGATCAAATTATGCAAGTTCAATATAATTTCAAGGGATTTTTCTATGATTTTTCCTTCATTATATGATTCTTCCTTAATAATATTAAGCAGTTACAACTGGAATATTGGTAAAATATTTACTATTTAGCATTTGTTTGTAATAATGCAATTACATGCACAAACACGTTCATATGAAACTATCTGTAATATATACCAGCAGAGGACTGCAATATACCAAAAGGGAGTATTAGGTGTGCTGCAATTAACCCCAGTTCAGACTTTCAATCTTCCATTTGAAAATTTTGTACAGTTTCTCATTATAACTTTAACAGTATATATTTGTCTTCCATAATGAATATATTGTTGTACTGGGGCCAGTTGTATGACTTGTATCAATCAAGCCAGTTTAACTTAATTAACCACCATTTTTAAGCTAAACAGGCTTAAGCTTGATACAACCAGCCCCTGTAGCTGGGCAAATAAGAAGTGCAGGATATATTGTGATTTAAAGCTTGGCTAGAAGGGCAAATTAGGGTAAATTACGAGTACACGCATTTGGGGAACTTTCTGTAATTTCCGTTCCAAACTATTAAAGTCCCCCAAATTCTACCAAAAAATACGCACCAGCATTTACATGTTTTAAAAGATAATATTCATCAATAAATACCTCCAGCTGACGGGAATGCCGGACTAAAATCGTTGCATCTCTCTTTCTGGGGGTCGAACACCTCACTGTCCTTTCCCTCGTTATTCTCGCTGATTGTAAACCAGAACGAATAAAAATATCCCAAAGTAAGAGACAAAACCAACGTGATCACGGCCCAAACACGGAAATATCTTGACCTACTTTGTTTGCACATGTTTTATGCTTCTGAATCCATCTATGGTGTTTCATTAGAGAATTAACAATGTCGCAAAATGAACATTTATTTACTTCGTTATAAAATCATTCATTTGCAAATTGCAACACGCAATAGACGCAAAGCTTCTGAGAATTACTTCATGTAGAACTGTAACTTGCGGGGTTGCCCTAGTGGTCCGAGAGTGCACACGCGGGGGTCGCGCGGTTTGTATGACTGTTTGTAACCATAATAATATACATGTTTGGAGACCACATAAAACTAGGTTTATGCAAAAATTGTTCCTTTCTCATTACGTGCCTATTGTATTTTACACAGATAAACCAATAGCAATCTTATAATCAACACATTTTTCAAGTCAAGGTTGAGGAGCTTAGCAAGACGAATGCCATTGGTACGTTTGGCTAAAATACAATAGACACGTGACGAGAAAGGAACCATTTTTTGCATAAACCTGGACAATAACATAGTTAATGAGTTGTATTGTACCTCTATTTAGTCTCCAAACCATGTATATTCTATTAACTGTGTTGTAACCAATTCTTTCAATAGATTTCACCATTTCTAGCATAATATTTTTGATATACAGTTTTATACCCAATAGACCTTTTCAGTTTGCATGGGAATTAGGTCTATTGAATTTGATCTCAGGTATTAATGAAACCTTTGCGCAAAGTTCACACCTGAGCACAGAGGCCAAGGCACAGCGCATCCTAGTTCCCAGCCCAACGAGGATTTCTCGTGCGATTGTGGGAAAACCTGGGTGGCTTACCCTGGATGCATGCACATTTGGAATTTTCGGCATTACCGACTTAATAATCGATCTATTAAATATTTATCCATTATAATAATTCTAATGGTTTTTTTGAATCACAAATCAGGAAAAATTTATAATCGGCTGAAACTAGCCTGGCAAATCGTTCATTTTAGCCGGCAAAATACATCCGAAATTTCCCAATAATAATAATCTGTAAAAGGAGTTATTATTACGGGAGTGTAAAAAGGCTATATTCGACAACCAGGTGCCACACAAAATTTTTTGAACTGAAAATATTCCAATCTCGTTCGAACGCTGCCATTTGTTCGCCTCCAATAAAATTTGCATTTGCTCCCCAATGGGTCTTCACACGTTCCAAGAACAAGTTTGCACTTCCTGGAACCAACTCAAGACGAGCCAATGGCAGAGAAGAATGGATGAGCAAAAATTTTTTTATATCTGACCTTATCCCTGTGTGTTTGGGGGGGGGAAAGCAATCGATGTTGCTAAAGCTAGCCTGATAGTGTGATAATTTACCGACGAGAAACGCGTTCAAAATAGATTGAATACAACATTTTCATTCACAAGGTAAGTCACAACATCAACAATTAATATGATTGACATCGTTTATATACACGCTACGCTGTTTTCCAAGATTTTCAGTCATGTTGAACAAAAGGGTGTTGTGCATGTCGAGACAGCGTCCATATTAATTGAATGTAAATTTAAGGCTGAGTTTTTAATAATGAAACGCTTCTTAGCATTTAATATCCGCATAGTTTACGTGACGTTGAGACTAACCCGAAATGGAGTCAAAGATGAAAATGCTAATAAATACTCTCAATATACCGTATTATAGCTGCAGAAACGCACAAATACATTATGCCAAGGTGATCGAATAAAGGACTCTCCACTGATATATATCTACGCTGATAAGCGCTTTTTCCTTCGGAAAAGTGAAACATTTCGCTTGTTCCTATACTGCCTTTACTGGGGCCGGATTTCGCCTGTTCCTATACTGGGGCCGGTTGTATCAAGCCCTTTTAGTTTAAACGGTGGTTGAGCTCAAAATAGACAGCAAGTCAAGCACCGCGGAGCAGGCTGGCTCATTGGGCTTTAACCCCACAAATAATTTTCCGTAATGATTAGTCTTTAATTTCAAATATTTTAGTTCGCTCAATTTACAAGCAATATTTTTAGCAATTTGTATTTCTTGCTTACTTCTTCAAAGGATATTTTGATAACCAATTCAAACAAATGAGTATATTCCAACGATATCTGCATGTCGTAATAAATCCGCCATGTTTACAAGTGGTTTGAAATTATTTATGTTCAGTACATATGTTTGCCCAAAATAAAAAAAAACAAACACAAAACAAATAGACAAAAAAGGACAAGCATTTGACCATTAAAACAGCGTGGTTCCTCTCATAATTTAATCCTTTCGCTTAAGGCATTTGAGAAGCCAACAACTACGGCGTCATAGTCGTAAGAGGTCCTCTTTGGTTGTTTCTATTGTTTAATGTTTGTATATGATCGAGTTCCAAACATGCTGGACTGAAACTTTACCGAGGACAAGCATTTGAGTGATTTGACCATTAAAAGTTTTAAAACAGCGTGGTTATCCATTCAAAATATTTGACATCATAACCAAAGCATGATTATATTGTTTAATGTTTGTTATGAGCGCCAAACATGCTGGAAACTTTACATAGGACAAGCATTTGAGTGATTTGACCACTAAAACAGCGTGGTTATCCATGTCAAAATATTTGACATCATAACCAAAGCATGATTATATTGTTTAATGTTTGTTTTGAGCGCCAAACATGCTGAAAACTTTACATAGGACAAGCATTTGGCTATTAAAACAGCGTGGTTATATCCATGTCAAAATATTTGACATCATAACCAAAGCATGGTTATATTGTTTAATGTTTGTATATGAGCGCCAAACATGCTGGAAACTTTACATAGGACAACCATTTGACCATTAAAACAGCGTGGTTATCAATTTAAAAAATTTTACACTGATCATAACCAAAGCATGGTTATATTGTTTAATGTTTGTTATGAGCGCCAAACATGCTGGAAACTTTACATAGGACAAGCATTTGACCATCAGCGTGGTTATCCCATCTCAAAATATTTGACATCATAACTAAAGCATGGTTATATTGTTTAATGTTAGTATATGAGCGCCAAACATGCTGGAAACTTTACATAGGACAAGCATTTGACCATTAAAACAGCGTGGTTATCCATGTCAAAATATTTGACATCATAACCAAAGCATGATTATATTGTTTAATGTTTGTATATGAGCGCCAAACATGCTGGAAACTTTACATAGGACAACCATTTGACCATTAAAACAGCGTGGTTATCAATTTAAAAAAAATTACACTGATCATAACCAAAGCATGGTTATATTGTTTAATGTTTGTTATGAGCGCCAAACATGCTGGAAACTTTACATAGGACAAGCATTTGACCATCAGCGTGGTTATCCCATCTCAAAATATTTGACATCATAACTAAAGCATGGTTATATTGTTTAATGTTAGTATATGAGCGCCAAACATGCTGGAAACTTTACATAGGACAAGCATTTGACCATTAAAACAACGTGGTTATCCATGTCAAAATATTTGACATCATAACCAAAGCATGATTATATTGTTTAATGTTTGTATATGAGCGCCACGGGTAGTTCCGCCGTTCTACTCGGGTTAAAAATGGTCAGGGAATTTCAATATCTCTGTACCTCTGTTGATTTTGCAGATCAAATGGGTAAGCGGGACGGACAAATATTGGCATTTTTGCATTTCGCCATCACTGAGATGAGACCACTAGTGCTCCTATGGTACACCGTTTACAGCACGTTTGCGAATGTTGTCACGAGTGCAGCTGTTCAAAATGCCTACGGCGTTCAGAGTGTCGTTGCGTGCATTTATTTTGGACATATCAACTCACGAGACGTCGCAGATTGTGCTAAATCAGCTTATCGAAGATATCTGCCTTCTGGTCCCCAGGATTATTTCAAAGACTGTAGTGACAAATGTCCGGGTTCTGCGGTCGGGATTTCCGCACCTGAACCACGCATTATGTTTTTCTTCATGACTACCTGGCTTCTTGGTATGAATAATTTTTAACAATTATTTTTTATTAGTGCAAATATTGACTTTGACAATTGTCACAATTCATCAGAATGCATAACAATCATATAAAATTATGCAATTTTAATAATGTTATGTAGAGCGTTAAACTTAAACGCCATTTATACAGGGTGTATAAAAAAAGAAGACCTTTAGAGATCAAACTATTGTTATAATTTAAATACCTGATCAATTTTCTAAGCCCGCGGCTGCTCAATCGAATAAAATCTATAGTGCATGGCACGAAGGTTGTGCTTTTCACCGGTGGATTTCTATCAGGAACCTTTCTCAAAACGTGTTTCTGGACATAAATCTGGACGATAAATCGTCGAAGTAACATCATCTAGACTGAGAGTGAATGCATCTGACTAATTTATTCAGGACCTTTTTTAAGCAATCATTTTGACAGAAAGTGACCCCCTCCATAAAATATAAGCATGTTATATAAAACATATAAGCATGTATCCATGTTGCCAACAATGTTTTATGAATTTGCAAAAATGCTAACAGTGGGGTGTAATTGACCCTCAGTAGTACCACTGGAGGGGCCAAGACACCCCCCCCCGTTTCCTTTGATACTTTGTACACACTGAAAACAATATTGGGTGGAACATGCTTCTATGTTTTATATAACATTGCTTGTATTTTAAACAGGGGTCAATGACTCTGAAAAGGATTCCTTAAAAAAGACCAGTTGCATTTATTGCATTCATTTCAGGACTCTATCTCCTTTTCCTGGTGTATTGCGTCTACCACCACCCAGATTACTACTCTGGCCGTTACATCAAGTTTACTCAGACACTTTATTCCAGTAAAGTGTACAAAGTTTTGACCATTGTCACGTTCCTCCTCTCCGTCATCATGATCCTTCTCGGGATCTTCCTCTTGATCAAGTATAACGAAGGCTGGACCCAATACATCGTCGCATTATTATTAATGGTGATGGCTTCCCGGACCCTTCTTCGCCAGAAGAGCAATGGCCTCGATATCAGATGCGAGAAATTCTGTGGATTGAAGATTTCTCGGGGAAACACGTTCATGAAAGTTTGGAATTTCTTCTTGACCACCAATGCTGGTGTCCTCGATGCCTTGGAGGTCGAGTTTATGAAAAAAGGGCTCCCCCGGGATTTGGTGGCCCCGGAAGAACGCAAAGAAGGATGCTCGGCGTTTTTCACCTGGCATACCCTCCTGGAAACACCAAGGTCCACAAGTTCCGAAGATCTTTTGGGAGGTGAAGAAATATGTGGCACTACACTGACAGAACGAGTCTAAACGAGACTGACGCTTGCAACGACGCTTTTAAAATACATTTTTAATTTAAATTGAATTAAAAATCAACTAAGACTACGTTAATTTACAATAAATTTTATATACAATTCACCCAGTTAATTCTTAATACAAATTGAACGATAACGGAAAAATTAGACATTTGCCGTTTAAATCTAGTTTTAACTTTTAAACAGTTAACCTGAGATTGTGATGACGTCGCGAGGTGCCTTGATAGAACCCAGTTCCCATGCGTTTCATTCTTACTACAACGAGTATTAAGGACGTAAGTTGAAAGGCAAACGTGTTTCAATATAAAAACAGTAGAATTACTTGGAGTTTTGTCGAGTATTAGGCAAACTTTAGAACATTTGTTTGGCAAAAAAAGCGCCTGGACACGAGGCTGGTCAGGCAGACAGATAGGTAGAATATACGTGACATATAGGGGTTAGATAATCCAAGTTAATTCAAGGCACGTGTGAGCCAATGAATTGCCTTTAAATTCAAATTGCCTTTAAAAAAATTAAATGATGGCACGTGGAACAGCCTCTTAATTCCCATGCCAATACCCTGGACCAGTCATTCAGCGTATATTTATTATCTAAACAGTAGGAAACAATCATCGTCAAGCCGCTCTTATCTAGGAAAATTAACTACGTTCAGAAGTATTTATGTACTATACCATCTTTCTATCTTTAAATTCGAAAAAGGGGCTGTTTACATGATCCCAAATAACCGAGTTCAAACGAAGCGTGATATGATTTTGAGGTACTGAAATGAGTAAAGATGATCCTGATATTGGTGTCTCAATCTCAACAATAAAACGTGCTTGTTTCCTTTCATAAAGTCCTTTTTCGATACCTCAAATTCATGAATTTCGGGTAACCAGGTTCATGTAAACAGACCCTAATAAGTAAAACAATCAATATTATTAAATTCGCTAAATGCGCAATAGGTTTATGCGGATGTAACAAATTTCTTGTTCAGTACGATAGTTAATCATATTGCATTGCAATGACTGTGCGAAGTACAAAATTCTTTCATCCCACAATCGCTGTCCTCATAACAAAGGTCTCCCACACAGCTCGCCTTGCATTTCTTCTCCATGAGGCCTCTCCAATCCACGATACAACAGAAATTTCCTTTAGTGCAATCTGAGTCTCGAGAACAGGGATTTGGACTAACTGTCCCGACACTTGGTCGACTTTCTAGTTCACACTTTAGGTCGTAATTGCAGGTTTCATTTAAGGCACAGTCGCTGTCTTCATAGCAATGGTTTCCAACACAAGATGACTTGCATTCCTTCTGAATTTCACGAGTCCAGTCGACGATACAACAGTATTCTCCTTTGACACAACCCGAGTCTTCAGAACATTTACTTATATCACGAGTTGGGGGAAATGTCTGGACTGCTCGGTTATCACCTGGTTCACATCGGAGGTTTATGCAGTGTTCATTTAAACCGCAGTCGCTGTCTTCATAGCAATGGTTTCCAACACAAGATGACTTGCATTCCTTCTGAATTTCACGTGTCCAGTCGACGATACAACAGTATTTTCCACGAGCACAGTGCGAATCCTGTGCACAAGTATTTATTTTAAGCGTCGTCATTGGCGCTGTCGAAGCAAGTACACAACGACTTGAAATGCAGTTCTCATTCAAACCACAATTGCTGTCTTCATAGCAAAGATCTCCAACACAAGATGACTTGCATTCCTTTTGAATCGCACGAGACCAGTCAACGATACAACAGTATTTTCCTTTGACACAACCTGAGTCTTCAGAACATTTACTCATGTCACGAGTTGGGGGAAATGTCCGGACTGTTGGGCTATGACCTGGTTCACATCGGAGGTTTCTGCAGTGTTCATTTAAACCACAGTCGCTGTCTTCATAGCAATGGTTTCCAACACAAGATGACTTGCATTCCTTTTGAATTTCACGAGTCCAGTCGACGATACAACAAAAACCTCCACTAGCCACACAATGCGAATATTCATCACAAATACGCGCCTTGGAGGTTGTGGTGGGAAACACAGTAGTAGGGGTGTTTGGTCGGTTGACTAGTTTGCATTTATGATCTACGCATTCTTCATTACTGCCACAGTCGGCGTTTTCGGGAGAGCAAAGATACCCGACACAACTTGACTGGCATACCCTTTCTACCGGGCCAGAATAACTAAGAATACAGCAGTATCCCGTTGTAGAGCAGTCGGAATCTCGGAAACACTCTTTGACAGGTAGGGTGGTAAACGGTCTCGGGGTAATGGCGACAGTCGTTTTCAAACGCAGCTTTGGACGTACTTTGGGAGCACAGCGCTTGCTTAACGTACAATATTCTCTATATGAACAATCCCAGTCGTCATAGCAGACATATCCAACGCAGCTCTTCTTGCAAGCCTTACCAATGCCCCGAAATTTGAAGAAGCAACAATTCTCCTTATACTTGCGATTTCGCGGCAACGATATCCCGCGTCCCTTTCCGCACTGTGAACTAGGCGACACGTTGCAACACAGGATAACAACCAGCACGCTGGCCAAATAAAGCCCCGAATTGAATTGACGCATTGCGATCGAACTATTCAACGTGATCGGAAATTCTCTTCCAAGCGACTTTCTATTTAAGTTTACAACTAGTGTTAGTCGGTCACTTTCAAATAAACAGTATCAGTCGGCAGACACGTAAGTACGTAGATAAAGTCGAAAATAAACTGCTCATTCAATTAAACTTGACCTTTTTATGCATGCATTGACATTGTTATATTGTGATGGTGTTAAAACCTTGACCTCAAACTCAGAGCGCGCAATGTATAATGGTTGTCTCGTATTAGGCTCCATAAATAAAGAGCATTTTCCTTTTTACGTCGCCTTAGCTTGGCTTGAAAAGCTGAATTTTTAAGTCCTAAAGTGGCATATAGTAGTGCATGATCACTGTAATGGAATTAGTTAAATCTTTTTGACAACCTTTATTGAAGTTGTTGTAATATCATCCGATATTATTATGCTCAATATACTTGTATATACTGGTTTGACCGGCCCAATGTTGCATGATAAAAAACAGAGTTTATTATAGCCAAGCAATATGTTATTTAGTTGTCTAGCATCCAGTATACGTAGTTCAGCTTAAACGGTGGAGTAGACCAAAGTTTACTCTCATATGTGCATCTTGTTAATGACTAAACATATTTATGCATTATATGTCAGTCATCGTAATTTGTCAAAGTAATATTCGAAGTCAATATCTTCGAGTAGGCCATTGTCTGGTTTCTGGAAGAAGTTCCGGCGGCTGCCATTGTCTTACGTTTCGCTGACCCTGAATTATGATCACTTACAAGTTGAATAAAAACAATACTGTTTTTGTGGTCACTGCTGTTCTGTTTGATCAAGAATAATACATTAGTGTGTAGAGATGTCGACGGAAAATACATATTTTGAACTGAATGTACAACTGTTTACAGGAGCTAGGGTTTACGGAACGGAATGCACGTTTACCATCTCCAAGGCAGGTTTTACGAAAGCTGGATTACACTATCCATCTGATAGTTTCAATCGCTTTAAAATTGTCCGCTGTTCAGTATAACCTGCATTAAACCTGGGGGTTCTCTTTCATAATGATTTTTACTCCGAAGTTGCAAATTCATTGCTTTCAACCATGTGTTTAAATTGGTTGAAAAATCGCTATCTAGCTTAATCTTGGGTTAACTCAAATTTTCATCTCAATTTTCACATCATTTCACTCAGTTTAAGACTTGGATCAGTTCCCGACCTGCTTAATTTTTGAAAGAATTCTCTTCCGCCACCAGCCAATCACATCGCGCCGTTGTTTACAAAGAAAAAACACTCGTCATATTAAAACGAGCAACACTTTAATTATCGGCCTGGACTTCCTGAATTTGTTTCCAAATTTGAATTTTACTATTATTTTCGCCAAGGTGAACAGGAACAGAACAGTTGCTGGGGAACTAATGACGTTACTAACGTCTCATTCAACATGATCGCCACATTATCCATATTAATTAATTATTACTATTTCCCTATAAAACTTTCGAAACATTAGGATTTAGCAATTAAACTGGTTAAGACCCTCGTTATATAGAATAAGTCTCAAGAGTCTTTGTATAAATTATCGCTTCCATTGCCTATTCTGTAACATTAACTACGAGTTAGCAAGCAAGCATGCAAATAGCGATGTTTTAGCAGGTAGGGAAAGTCAACACAAATGCATATGTTACATCGCTAGCAATCAGTCTTAAAGTGCCTATATCACTTGTGGGATCTTTACGGATTTGAATTGAGCTTTAAAAATTAGTTTATAAGTTCCACAACCCTTTTTGATATAATTAAATAGTTTCGGAAATATTTACATCTAAACATGACGATTTGCCTAAATTTGCAGGTACGAAAAATCTTCTAAGCTGTTGTATAATTAATTTTAAATGAAATCAAATCAATTAAATAAAAAAAAACACTGCAAATCACCAACAGAATCCAACCTATGCGTCTATTCAATCGTTGATTTCATAAGTATGATTTAAATTATTTTAAACTTCTACGTGTGTACGTACGTACAAAAAAACAAAACAACCCTATGCTTCACTTATCCGCGCTGTCTGCCGCTAGAAGGACAAGTGGTAGATGTAAAATAGTCTCAGCTTCCCTCGTCTTCTGTACTGCGTATGATGAAATCAGTTAGTTTTCATCAAGTACTGAGAGATATGGCGCTCAATGACATCCGTCACTTGGCGTGGTATAGAGCGACGGCCGACGGGTAACGACGGACTGGAAAATAGGTTTTAAAGACATGAACATCATAACTTGTCATAGCAGTGCATAATTATAATGTGCTAAATATATCTGCAATTCTGCATGTGGATTTGATGGGTAACTTGTAAACGGAAATAATCTATTGCTTTGACGAAAGTAAAAAGCATTTGGACAAAGACTGGTGATGCTAATTTTTACGTCAACAAAAACTTCCTGCCAAAGAAATTTGCCCGTGTAAAAGCGACTGAACACCATGGTTTAAATCTGTACAACTCGTCAAATATCGGCAAATTGGAACACGCTTTATTATTTTATACTATCACATTTCTTCGTATCAAATTGCCCTGTCCCAAACGCTGCATTATACTCCGAATGACTGACGTCAATCCCGACGTAATAATTAACCGCGAAATTCAGGTTGCTGGTTGTCAACAAAAGTATGTTGCAAAAGTCACGCAAAGCGTTCTCTGCTTCAAATTCAGCTACACTTTGTCTTTGTTATCTCTGATACTTGGACATTAGGGGGACTCCTTGTCGGTGTTAAACTCAGTTAAAACAAGGTACAGTAATCACAAAATCACTCATTTACTATTCAGCTTCGAACCGTTCGAAAGAGTGTGCGATTTCATAGTCAACCTTGCCAACAGAAAAGATGAAAATAGATTATTATTTGTTCTTCAAACCGACTTCAGACTAGTTTAACTGAAGGCGATTGAGCTCATGATTCAATTATTAAAAAAAAGTTTACTGTCACTGAGATGGTTTGAAGCCACTCTAAATTAGAGGCCATCTTGTCGCTTCAAACTCCGTGCTGTGATTATAGCTAGATGCAGTCATTGACCTATGTAGCATTTTATAGTTTAATGAAACTATAGATTTCTTATTGATGCGCGTTATTTCATAAGCAGCCCAAATTGACAAATAGCCGAAAATTTTCTCGCGCTCAAATTATCACGCATATTTGGGCTGCCTATATATGATTATAGCATTTTTGGCATTTTCTTTCAGGACCATGGGCAAAAGGGACGGTGAGATATTGGCGTTTATCCATTTCGTTGTGACGGAGATGCGACCAATATGGCTTCTATGGTACACAGTTTACAGCACGTTTGAAGGTATTCTCACGGGTACCTCCATCACGACCGCCTACCGTCAACACGAGGTGACAAAATGTTTGCATGAAGAGAAACTGAGTGTAGGAGAGATTGAAGATTGCGCTAAATCAGCGTACGTAAGATATCTCGCTTCGGGTCCACAGATACCTTTCGATGAGTGCGGGGAGCATTGCGAAGGCGCGTTAGTTGGAGTTGACGTTCCTGAGCCACGAATAATGTTCTTTTTTATGACAATCTGGCTCTTTGGTATGTATTTATAGTTATTTTGAAGATAATTTGTCTTGTAAACGGATTAGTTTATTCTAAAAACTTCAGTTGTTTCCATTCTTCACTGTACTGCGCAGTAAGGTTTTCACTGATACGGTAAAAAAGAGTTTGTATATTTGTATGTATATCAAAACGAAATCTTTCAGCAAAATATCGAGTATAGTCTCAGTTTGAAAAATTGCTTAAGTTATAGTTTAGCTACGGTTGATAATTTTGCAGAGACTGACTAATTGTCCCGTTAAATGGTTCTGGCATTTAGAGTGCAACAAATGAAGGCTAATCACTGTTTGCATTACTACTTTCATCTTAGGGCCTGTTTACATGGAGCGAGTTAGCCCAACTAGGCGAGGTAAAAAGTGCATCATATGAAAGGTTTAAATTTATTAGTCTTTCATTATAATTATGCAGTTTTCACCTCCCCTAGCCGGGATAACTCGCTCTATGTAAAAAGGCCCTTTAGTAGATAGATAGATAGTTTAAAACAAGCATTGCAGTTACAAAGACTTTAGTAGTTACAGGTGAGAGTAAGCTAAAGAAAAATTTATATTTACAACAATTGAACTAGTATAGTTATAAAATTACAATATAGTATATGCATAGGTTATAGAATTGGTTTACTCATTTAAGCAAATAATGACCATCTAGTATACAAAATCTTATTGTATCAAATTCAACGTTTAAACTCACCCTGCATAAGTCGCTTTTCGTATCATTCCAGGGTTCCTGCTTGTACTTTTGATCTATTTTGCCTACCGTCATCCCAATTATCACACAGGCAGCTACATAAAGTTTACCCAAAATCTTTACGGATGCAAAGCATACAAGCTTGTTGCGAATTGCACATTCGTGGTGTCTGTCTTGGTGATAATTGTTGGGATCGTGATCTTGATTAAGAATAATGAAGATTGGACCAAGTATATCATCGCGCTGATGCTGATGGTAATGGCCTCCAGAAGTCTCGTCCGTTGCAAGAGCAACGGCGTCGATATCAATTCCGAGAAATTCTGTCAGCTGACGATCTCTCGTGGAAACGCGCTGATGAGGGTGTTGAATTTGTTTCTGACCACCAACGCTGATCTCTATGATGAACTGGAGGTACAGGTTATGAAGAAAGGGCTTCGGCGTGATGTTGCCGCTGAACAAGACGAACGCGTGGTGGGTTGCAAGGGAATACTTGATTGGTATCCGCTCAGTGACGAAAGCCTGAACGAATTTCTGGCAAGTGTGGATGAAAGCAATGCCAAAGAACGTACGGAGAAGGTTTAGGACTTTGTGGACAACATAAGTGCATGATCTACGGTGTCCAACCTCGTACTGGGCATGGTTAGAATTGCAATAAACTTAGATATAAACGGAGTATGAAACTAAATATTCTAGAGTCGAGAAACTTCATTACAAACCCGAGTCCATTTCAACGTCTCAAATTCTTTCTTGTTTCATTTTTCTCAGAACGAATTTCAATAAAAAGGTATTTAACTTCAACTGAAGGTTTACGCCTGTATTCAAAAAGCTCACTCAGACTCACACTTGAGTGTGACATAGAAATTTTGTTACTAGTGCATGATCAACGAGAAAGTTTATTCTTAATCGAAGAAAATATTTAAGGTAAAACATTGAAAATCAAGCTCTTATTCGACTGAGAATACCATCATTGAAACGTTATGAGAAGATTGAGATCTGAATGAGTTTGAGTGTGAGTTAGCGTTCGAGGTGGCCTTTTAAGCCAGCCTCTTAACTGCTAAGCTTATTCACCAAAGGAATATGGAAAGACGAGGTGACGTCACGGGAGCCTGACACAGCACACAGCCTTCAAGGGCATCCAAGGGCAAATGTTTAGGAACAAGTTATTTTGAAACAAAGAATCCAACTAGCCCACCACTCAAAACACCGGCTTCTCAGCAGACTTACTTTTCACGTATTATATTTTTGAATATATCTTGCTAGTGAGTTCGGAGTAGAAGTCTGTCAGCGCAACTTACTATGAACAATTTTAAAAATATGTATAATAGACTACAATATCGAAAATCTCGCAAGGAAAATTCGCTTATGAACATAAGTGCTGCCAAGCAACACCAAAACATCATTTGCTAAGTGAAATGTTGCTAGGCAACTTTTTATGAATACTGAAATACTTTTGCTAGGCTAATTTCTATGAGTGCTGATATATTTTCTATTTCTACGAAGACAGATCGACACACGAGGCAGTTTGACATCTTTGCGTTAGCGAATTTTATTCCCTTAGCCAACATACAATTATTGAAAAATTCTTTTTTTACAGAATTATTAACAAGCAGTTTGATAATCATATATTCCTCCTACGCCGGAACCGGACGTCGAAGAGGCCTAGTGTATCGTGTATAAAAGTTATTATCAAATTTTACGTTCGTGACAAACGGCAAAATCATTCACATTCATCAACCGGCGAAGCCTTTAAAGCAAAGTCACACAAGACATTGACTGTTTCAAATCCAGTTTATTTGCCGCCGTCAAATTTTCTGCTGCGTATTTTGAACATCGATCCGTAAGCCTTGTGTGTTGATCATCAGTTATTCAGGCGATTAAGTGAAGCTAAGGTAATTAGTTCAAATTTGACAGAATTAATAAATAAAACCTTAATTATTCCTCACGGTACTTTTTCACTAACAATTAAAACCGTTTAACAAATATTATCATTCCTTTATTGTATTCTCAATTTTGATTGGTTAATTTACCTTCAGTTGAACTGCGTGCAAATAATACTCTGAGCATGCGCGTTTGTTAAAAACGTTGCTCAGCTGCAAATAATACTCTGAGCATGCGCATTGATGTCAATTTTGTAAACAATAATGGCGAATCGCTTTCCTGAACTTTCGGAAAATGAGTTGTATTGCTTACTCGAAGAAAAAATGCGGAAAATATCAAAAAATAATATTATCAGTGAATGATAAAACAATTATTGAACTCGGTTCTCGCAAAGTAGTGCGCCGGTGGCTCGCAGATCAATTATTTTATTTGCCTCTGCCTTTGGCATCGACAAATAATTGGATCTGCTTGCCACCAACAAATCACGATATTTTGCTCGACCTCGTCCAATATTTGATCAATTATCTACTGATATATTATAATTCACGACTATACAAAATGAGTTAATTTTAAAATAAGTTTGGTGTCTAAATCTCCCCTCACCCTCTCCCTCGCCTCTCACCCCCCCCCCCCATAGCCATTTTCAGAAGAAAGTAATGATATTCTCCCAACAAACCTCTCAGTCCTCGACTGTATGGATTAGTCCGATTAAGTGTCCCCAAAATCGAGAAAATCAAGTGATGCACTCCCCAGACCCCATATACCCCATACAATTCCCGTATCTTGAAATCCCACTTGATCAATTAATAATCAAACGTTTCTTTCAGTATTATGAGTAAAAGTAAGCGGTTCGGTGAAGTGTTGGCATTCGTGCATTTCCTTGTGACTGAGATGCGACCAGTGTGGCTTCTTTGGTTTATTGTTTACAACACCTTCAAAGGAATTCTCACCGGTACGGCCATCAAGACCGCATACCGCCACCGTGAAGTGACAAAGTGCTTGCACGAAGAAAAACTCACTGTTAAAGAGGTTGACGATTGTGCCGAATCCGCCTACGAAAGATATCTTGCTTCTGGTCCGCAGAATCCTTTCAAAGCATGCGGTGAACGCTGTCAAGGGGCTTTAGTTGGAGTTGACGATCCTGAGCCGAGGATTATGTATTTTTTAATGACCATATGGCTTTTTGGTATGTAAAGATACTACTTTTTATTGGAATTCAATTTTTGCGTTGCGTTCAGGATTATAAAATTAACATCATTTCACTCTTTCACAACAAGGAGGAATTTTGTTTTAAACTAATCGCCATATTTGTTTACATTTTTCAGGCAAAGCCAATCAGAATGCCTAAATTTTTAATACTTCATGTAAAATGGTATATATTGTACTTTTTATCAAAATTTGTGCATTCTGATTGGGTCAATGAAAATGTAAACAAACTTTCTGATTGGTCTAAAACGAAATTCCCATTTTTCTCTTTCATATCATTCCAGGGTTCCTTCTTGTACTTTTGATCTATTTTGCCTACCGTCATCCCAATTACCACACAGGCAACTACCTAAAGTTTACCAAAACGCTTTACGGACAAAGAGCGTACAGGATTATGGCCAATTGCACGTTAATGTTGTCAATTTTGGTGATCATCATTGGAATTGTTGTCTTGATTAGAAATGACGAAGACTGGGTCCAGTACATCGTAGCGCTGATTTTGGTGGTAATCACTTCTAGAAAACTTGTCCGAAACAAATGTAACGGCCTCGATATCGATTCCGAGAAATTCTGTCAGTTGAAGATCTCTCGCGGAAATGTGCTAATGAGTGTGTTGAACTTCTTGCTTACGACCAACGCTGATCTTTACGACAAACTGGAGGTGCAGGTTATGAAGAAAGGGCTTCAACGTGACGTGGCCGCTGAACAAGACGAACGCGTGGTGGGTTGGAAGGGAATATTTGATTGGTATCCGCTCAGTGACGAAAGCCTGACGGAATTTCTGAGAAGCTCCATTGAAAACACTGCCTAAGAAGAAATTTAAAAAACTTGTTTCGAATGCATGTTTCAGGGAATTTGTATAGATACTTAATTTCGCGTTGTAGAGATGCACGAATTATATGAATTATTTTAAAATTGTACGTACGTATTATTAAAAGACTATTATTCACATTATTTATGATTATTGTGGCGTAGTCACTGGCTTCATCAGAATGATAATCTCATACAAATTATCCGTATATTAATAGTATATGCCATAACAATAAGACCGATTTCAATCCACTATACTTTGGAACATAACGTTCTCACATACAAAACGGCAACGATTTTACCAAGTTATATAAGAGACAAAAAGAAAATTGTGCCAATTAATGAAGCTCTCACCGGTGCTACTTTCTGCGTTTTGTGTCATAGTATCTGCAGGTATAGTAAAATTACATCCTATACTGTTGGGCATTTACTGATAAATATTTAAGACCGTCCAGAATCTCTCGTGAAGACACCTATAGGGTGTTTAGATACACAAATCCCATTTAAAAATGCGTTTACCAACGTACATAGTCTAAAATTTAGGGGGTTTGCAGTCGCAAAGTGAATGAGAGATGTTTAGCCGAAGAGGGTTGTTCTGTTTTGAACAGGGTTGTAGCTTTGTACAACGAACTACAACTGGCTGTTGAAAAGCAGGGTCAGAAAATTTGCCTTTCTCGAAGCCTAAAAATCATGGTTTTTCGCGCTCATCATGTATTGTGGATATAGGTTCATCAATGTAAATGCAACATGGAAAGGGTTTTAGGGTCTGTTTCCCCCTATACTGTTTTTCAGTTTTCCGTTTTAAAAGTTGTCAAGATGTATTTTTTCAATTCTTTTTCAGAAGCTGTGGACGAGGAACAATTAAGAGTCAGTCGGGCCGTTTGTGGTTTCAAACGGTTCGGGCCAGTATTTGATATCTGTTGTAACTGTGTGGTCGCCTCGCGAGTCGCTGGCATGCAGGAAAACAAGGTGTTGTGGAACCTGCAGTTACAATCCAGTGTTTAATGTATGCTGCAGTAGAGTTATAACCTCGCGATCGCTGGCAGAAAAACAAGGTGTTGTGCATGCATGGAACCCGTAGTTATGATCCAGTGTTTCGATCTTGTTGTAATGGCCGAATTTGTTGAAAAACACACAGTCTACATGCATGTTACAAATACTTAATGAGGAACACTTGGACGGCCGGTAAAACTGTAGAATTTTATACTCGAGCCTAGTTATAGGCCAAAAGATAGTTCATGTAGTGTTCTTTTCAATTAATTGTAGTAATATGAGAGTTTCTAAAAAAATCGATCTAGTATATGCATTCATATTTTGATATCGCATGTTATTGATTTCAATTCTCGACAAAAGGATATTCTTCCCCCAGTGTCATGCACGAAGTTCTAACGCCTGTATTCTGATAACTCACATATCAACATGCATGCTCGTTCATTTAGAAAGAAAAATTCTTTTTTTTAGTAAAAACCTTCCTTTATAAAACGTGCAACTGTACGTTGAAGAATAACAAATTCTCTTTATAATTACGGTGGCATATTTAAAATTTGAACATTCCTATCGTAAATGACTTAAATTCGTAATGATTTAGTTATTTTTTTCATCAACAAGCTGCCATCTGTTTTATTAAGGCATTTTGATGCACGTTTGCGGAAGTGGGCTGCTTTAATCCGAAGTGCTTTAAAACATGTCAAATATACATGCACTGCGTTCTGATTATTCAAAGTCTTCAAACTATTTTGTTTGTTTGTTTGTTAAATTCCGCAGATATAGGGCTTGTTCTTATCGAATATTCGATCCCAACCACTCCTCGCTCTCAAAAACTTTGTTTGTCA